TGTCCCATTCCACAAAATATGTACAATGTAACAAACCATCACTGCATTTACCCAGAAATTACTAAGATTTAAAATCCTGCCAATTCAGGATTTGCTCTACTTTTCTTTATTCTCAGAGTAGTACTTAAGTTTCTGAGAGTGTATGTAACAATGTGCAGTCTGGGAGGCTGCTTTTCGGTCTTTGGGAGATGCTCTGTGCCAGGCTGTCACCTGCTCATTTCTGGATATAATCTGGCCTTGGTAGACTGGTGGGCCCTTCCTACTCTTTACCCTTGACAGCATTTAGGGTTTTACCAAGCAGGACATGGGGGGCTTTTTTATCCTCTGTGTTTATCTACTTCTTCCAACACCATTGCAGAGAGTGTTTCTCCATGGTGTGCTGTAGCAATCAGATAAGAAAAGAAGCCAAGTTAGCTTCTAGTATTCAGTCCGCCATCTTTAATAGGACAGGGTTCTATTACCCATTCCTTCAACTCTACCATAAACTCTCACCAACTTATGGGCAGAAAGTTGCCTCTCCATCTTGAATAATCTCTTATCCCCATCTCAGAGGCTCTTTCCTGTCTGGGGGGATGGATAGAGTGATGAAGGGGACATGAGAATTCACTCAGCAAATATTTTTGCCAAATCTTTCATTCCAACATCCGGACTTCATTGTTTTTTAAGAGGCTGGAATTGGACACTGTTGATTTGCATTTCTTCCACTGTGAACTTCTCCCTCTTCTTGTGGCCCTCACATATTCCGATTCCCAGGTTAAGATGGTCAGCAAGTTGGTTACATGGAATGTGTCTACGGGGGGGTACATGCAGGACAGATGAAAAAGTGAAGGAGATAAAATTTGTTCTTAAATCTTTAATACTTTATCTGTAAATGTTCCTATCTCAGGATACTGTGCTTCTTTAAAATTTTTCTACAGCTTTCCTCCAAAATTTACTTTCATAAAATTATTTTATAAACACAACCTTAAAGTAAGGTATAAATGGCTCACAGCATTTAATACATTACTCTTTCTACGTGTGTTTTGGTTAAAACAAGAATATTCTGAAATATAGGAATGATTTTCTATAAAATATTCAGCATCAATAAGTGGGACAGGTGATGGCATTGTAGAGTTAAAAGAAAAGTTGCCTTCTCTCTTATCATTTAAATCATTGAATGTCCATTTGCTTAATATTTAGTAATGTATTTTTTGAGTTCAGAACGGATTGTAGTAGTAACTTTAAAGGGAAGATTTACTTTTGTCTTACATTTTTCTTCATCAAATCATTGATAGGAGAATATAAGAATCCTGGACATCAATCCAAATTTTCTAAGTTGAAGGGATTAAAAGTACATATACTGGGGCACCTGGGTGGCTCAGTTGGTTAAAGGTCTAACTTTGGCTCAGGTCGTGATCTCACAGTTTGTGGGTTTGAGCCCTGCATCAGGCTCTGTGTTGAGAGCTCAGAGCCCAGAGCCTGCTTCAGTTCTATGTCTCCCTGTCTGTCTGCCCCTCCCCTGCTTGTGCTCTCTTGCAGTCTCTCAAAAAAATGAATAAACACCAAAAACTTTTTTAAAAAGTATATATATTTTTAGAAAGAATATATAAAATACATTTTTAAAATTACAAAATTATAAATAATTGTATATAATATTTAAAACTATATATGTGCATATATACAAGTACATATATACATACTTATATATACATATACATATGTATACTTACATATAATTGTTTATATATTTACTTATGTGCTTTTAAATATTATATACAGGTGTATGTATACATATACTTTTAGTATAAAAATTATACAGTTGTGTATGATGTATATTAAACATATATGCATACATATATTATATATAATATATACATATGATATGGATATTATACATAGTATGTATTAAAAGTATATATATGTATGTATTTCCCAATACAAGTTATTGAAAGCTAGAAGACTTAAGGATATTAAAGCAAACATGACCTCTTAAATAATTCCTCAAACAAGAGACTCCAGACCAGACATTGACAAAGCTGTTCTGTGAAGAGCCAAACAGTAAACAGTTTAGGCTTTGTGGTCTATATAGACTTTGTCACAACCATTCAACTTGGCTATTGCAACACAAAAGCAGCCATTGATGATGCATATGTGACGAGCATTTCTATGTTCCAATAAAACTTTATTTATGGACACTGAAATTTAAGTTTCATATATATTGTTCATATATTTTTAACATGTCACAAAATATTTTAAAAATTTTCCAGCCTTTTAAAGATGTAAACATCGTTTTTAGTTTGAGAGATGTAAAAATCAGAGGGATAAGCTGTATGTGGCTCACAGCCAGTGGTTTACAGATTTCGCATCTTGACATAACCCCTTAGGATTACCCAGGCAGGATGGCCAGGTCTTGGGTTGGGTATGAGTTGGGGTGACTTTGGAAAACAAAGCCGTCACACCAAGAGGTCAAAGGGCAATAAGGACTCTCTATTAGCTCTTTACACTAAAGAAAACAGAGTGAATCTGGATTTCTGCCTTTCTCTTGATCTTGAAAATTCCTTCCATCTGATTTCCCTCCATTCAGTGTATTTTAGTTTAGGATGCCAGTTTTCTTTCTCTACTCTAGGTCCTGTTGATGAAAAAAGGAGAGAGGAATACCAATAGTTTTATATGCATTTATTTTCCTTCTATGACGTGCTAGCATCGATAATGGTGGTAACAACATTTACAGAAAACCATCAGTTCTTAACAAAAAGAAAGCTATTATCAAGATCAAAAGAGCTATCTTTCAATTCTATATTTGTTATTAACTACCTGAGTGATGTCAGTTTACCTATTTGTAAAAGATTTGTTCTAATTGTATGAATGAACGACAGTTCTTAAAAATATCACTTCATTGAAAAGCCTTAAGGTAGGAAATAAGTTTCGCCAAATATGTTGGAAAGTTATGGAAAGATATGTTAAAGTAGGGAAAAAGCAGATTAAAAGAATAAATTCATGTTTGTATTTTTGTATTCACTAAGATTTTTTAATAAAATGTTCAGGATAAATTTAGCTACAGTATTTTTTATGTTTATTTTTCTGGAAGCATTCATAATTTAACTAGTTAAAGGACCTCTGATTTACATCCATTTCCTTGAAAGGAAAGATAAGAAACACATTAAAAAACAAAAAAACACCAAGAAACCAAAACCTGTGAATTAAGACCTTGAACCTGCAGATGGTGCTATGATCCCATTATGAAATTCAGTTATGCTTTCTAGTTTAAATTCATAGGAAAAAATGTAGTCTTTTGATTTAGTTTATCATTATCCAGAAATAACAAAATTGAATTATTTCTCCTTACTTTTGTGTTTTGTCATCATAATGGGAGAAACTGTTTTTACCACTGGAAAAATCTAATGTAGTTACTCTTTGTGAATGCTAAGTGCTTCCTTAGACCAAATAATAATCAACTTTTATGTGTTTCTTCATCTAAATTTTTCTGCTTATCATTCAGCATTAGTTTTTCTGTGACTTTCAATCAACTTACTTTGCTATTTCCGTTCTTAAATAAAGTTGCTTCACTGAGAATTGAGTGACGAAGAGCTAGAGCTAAAAAATTCCACGCGAGAGCCATTTCAACCTCTAGTTTGTAATAATCAGGTAAAAAAAGATTTCCTGGAATTAAGCCACAGGAACTCTGGCTTAAGTCAGAGCTGTCAACTGGGAAACAAATTTCCAGACATTTTGAAATTTAATTCATTTAATTTTTCTTGTAACTGGATTAGAAAATATGATTAAGCATAGCAGGATATTCTCTTACTGGATCAGTCTGGCTTTGAATAAAGCCATAGATACTAAATTTTAAAGTAGAAGAAAGAAGGGCACTTTAAAGTCTTTCTCCCTTGAGGAACTTATGAACAAAATGTAAAAGAATACACACACTGGAAATTTTTTTTAAATTATGGGAAAGATGGTATTTTATTTTGTTGTCCATAAAGATGTTCATTGTTATTCATGTGGCTGAATTTTTACCTGAAAGTCTGATTGAATGTGTTAGTCTAATTTGAATTAAAACCCCGCAAACAGGAATGAAGAATTTATTAAAGTACTCCACAAATGCTTTCCATCTAGCTCTTTGAAACCTGTCAATTGACTAAGTTGGAAATGTTCAAAAAGCTGATGTGACTGTACATTCAGGGATGAAGGGTAGAAACAAAATAATTCTATATAGTGCAAAGACTTATTATACAAATGATGAAAATTTCTGTCTTTATGAAAGAAGGAGAATTGAGATATATATACTGCCTAATAGCTTATACTTTGGATCATTTGAGATTATGTATGTGAAAGTGCATTGAGAATTATTATATTTTGTACAAACATAAAATAGCAGTACCACTGCTACTTTATACAACAGTGTGTGTATACTAGCTTAGAGTCTTTTGGAAACTTTTATCTTGGGATTGGTATCAACACAAAGGAAATGTAATAATAGAAAAATGGAAAATTATTTCTAGATGCTTTTAAAATTATGATAGATCTCAAGAAAGACTAAATCAAGATCTATGTGAATAGCATAAAAAATTTTAAAGGCTTTAGAACTGATATTTCGTAATAAAGGGGAATTATGGATTTGTAGGCATAATGAACATAAGTGTTTGTTTTTTTTCTGCATCTGTTTCTACACATAAAACTCATTTTCTGAAGGAACCTCAGTGGCCCTGGCTATAATACTAATCATTTTCTTATTTCTTTACTACTAATAAAAGATTAAAACATATCATATTAAGCTTGGTATCTTTTTTTGTTGTTCATTTAAATAAAAGTAAATTTCCTCTTTATATCTTACATCTTGAAGTTACTCACTATATATTTATATAAATCAGACATAATGACAATTTAATAAGAACTCAAGCCCTTTTCATCCTGTGGGAGTACTACTGTGACGTCTTTCAGAGAGCTTTGTGATTGCTCAGCCCTAAGTGTAAGCCCTATAAAATGATGGGCTTTGAAATGCTGGTCAGGGTGGAGTGAAAAGCAGTTGCCGGCAATAATAGCCAACCAGTACCAAGTTCTGGTTCAGCTCTGAAAACAGAGAACTGGTGGAGACTTGCTCAGTCTCAGAGGACTTCAGGACCTAAGACAGCTCCAACAATCTCCTTCAATATAGAAAGCTCCCAAGGAACACTACTTGGTAAGGTGAGTGAAAACTTTACCTTTCTTTTTCTTCTTTTTTCCTCTCCTCCTGCTTTCAAACTTTTCTCAGGGTATATTGAATAAATATTTCTTGCCCTTGAAAAGAATATTACGATGTTCTTCCTTTATAAAAATGAAAGACAAGTTTCTCAAGTCACCTGGTAAGTGTGAAATGCTACAGCTTCTTATATATCAGTGGATTTTTTTAAAAATTCTTTTGGTTGGAAGGTATTTTGCCTGGCTTACTCTATGATTTTAGTCAATACTTTCTTTTTAAAATGCATTAAGGTATTTTTTTACTTTATATAAATTTTTGACTGAAGGATTCAGTGGGTGTATTTGTTTTAGAAGTTTCAACTTCTTTTTTTAGTGTTGTTCTTTCTATTTCATATGTTAGTTATGTGAATCAAGGAAGTATTTATTTTCCTCTTTAAGTCTATAAATTTCTGTGATTTTTATAGACAGCAAGAAAAACAAACCTCAAATTCCTAAATTTCTATCTACAAACTTTAGAAATGAAATGTGTAAGTAGATTAGATATATAAAATCATAAACTTTAATTTTAATATCTTTTTCCTTTTATGGAAAAATTATTTCAATGGTAATACATAGTTTAATAATTTTTGGTATTAATTTTCACCATTAAATTAAGTTGTTCAATCCTAGGCATAAGGAAATAAATTTCTAGTAATATCTACAATTAAAAAAGGAAAAAGAAGTGCATGTATAATTTTTACACTGATGTATATATACATGTATATACCTACATGTACAGACTCAGGAATTATTAAATAGATGATACTCCAGTGTTATGTTAATTAGACACTACAAAGTATGACTTTCACAGTCATATACACAGCCCCACTATGTGCCTGGTAAGTGATGGGCAGCAGTTGAAAAGAATACCAATTTTTATTCAAATACCTGCTACCAAAAAAATAAGTCTTGTAAAAAGTTATTATTATATTGCAGTTTAGCTTTTTCTACCAGATAAAAATTACTTTTTCCAAACTCTGCAGGAGCCTTCACAAATTACTGCTAGACACTCAGAATTACTTTGTTTGTGATATCTTTGGTTGGAGAAACTGATGTGATTCTCCCCCTTTCAAGGTACGAAGATGGAAACCAGAAGTAAGTCCCAGGTCCTTGTGCTGCTCACAATTGTCTGCATGCTCTTCTCACAAACGCTGGCATGGCCTCTTTTCGGAGCACCCTCTTCTCTGAGGTAAGTATTCTTTCAATGCAGACAGTTGAGCATTCCTTCTTCATCTATTTGGGAATTTCCTATACATTATTTTGGATAACCCAATTCTTTAAGTTATGTATTATTTATTTAAATCCTTCTGTTGGTGTGTTAAGCAAGTTTTTTCAACATGACTGTTCTGCCTCCTGGAATCCACTCTTAAGGCATGAAGACAGTCTCAATGGCTAGTTTTAAGCACAGGGTGGATCATACTTCCAAACAAGGAGGAAGAAGGATTTAACTTTCTTTCAATTCAAAGCTGGTTGTAGATAAGTAATAAGCTTTCATCCATTGTCATCTCAGTTCAGTTCAGTTTCTGATGGAAAAAATACATGTTAAGTTGCCTGCCTCCTTAAAGTTCCTTTTCGAGATCAATCAGTAAATAATCTTGAGGTTAGTAGTTAACTAGTGAAACATATTGCTGTGAACAGTCATGCTGGCAGATCTACCTACCTAGCCAGATTCAATTTGCCAATAGTATAAATTGTGGAATAACTGATCTACTGGTGAGTGAATTTTAATGTACCTTGTTTCAACCACAAATCCTTAGTCTTACTGTTCTCTATGTTGTATTTCATATTTCAAATTCATAAATCATAACATAACTCTTGTTTAGAGCTTTATCTGAAATTTTTGTTAAAATTCCTGATAAAGTTTATCTGAAAATTTATGTTAAAAAAGTAAACAGTCAATGAAACTATATCAGTTTGATTTTTTCCTCCCACTTTATAGTCTCCACTCTATCTATGAGCAAAATCATCATTTCTTTGCTCATTTTCCCATTTGTTATTCTTTTTTCAAGGTAGACTTACACTCAATAGAATGAATAATCTCCTAGCTATAGTGTTTATGAAAACTGCTTAAGCCAGATCTTATGTTGCCTTGATAACTAAATAGAATGATTCTATCTGAATGGTTATATTACATATCACAATAGACAATCTCAGGAATGCTGAAGTTTGCATTGGTTGCTAGGGTTCATGCAAAGAAGACTGCTTGTTACTTCCACCAACTACTAGCTACGTCACCCAAAGATACACAAGAGCCCAGGATCTTACACACTCCTTGGAGGTTTACTCTAACAGTGAAAACACACATACTTATAATTTTAACAGTGTGATGCTGTTAAAAATGTGCATGCACTCAAAAATATAGTCGTATTCCATGTATAGGGATGATTATTCTAAGTCTTTCAGTAAAACATTGTACATCCCTCACTAAAATTGTATTAATACATAATATTAGAAATAAGAAGACTTCAAAAGATTTCTTGAATTTGAAATTTCTTGAATTACTGTTGAGGGATGAAGAGATTCTTTGTACTTCATTAATATTGAGAAATTTATCACACTGAGGTGAATCTTTGAAATAAAGCTTAGAGACCTAGAGAAAGAAAAGCAGTTAATATTGACCTCTTGAGAAATGATACTAAATGCCATTAAATACATGAATTGCTCCCAGTTTTCCTATTGAATATTTGAAATTTATTGAAGTTTCTATTTTGTACAACATTGTACAAGCTTAGAGACCTAGAGAAAGAAAAGCAGTTAATATTGACCTCTTGACAAATGATACTAAATGCCATTAAACACATGAATTGCTCCCAGTTTTCCTATTGAATATTTGATATTTATTGAAGTTTCTATTTTGTACAACATTTTTCTACTTGTGTGTGTGCGAAGTGAAGATATTACTAATGATGTGCACTTTATGTAATGCACTGACAGGATTGGGCTAAGTAACTCTTACGCTTGTCACATACATCTTATAAAAGTTATATGGCATCTATTTTATGGGATAATAAAAAATTTCACTATTTCTACTCTAAACCACAGAAGCCAGGAAGTCTAACTATGCTATCCATATATTGTGAATGGGTAATACTTCTCAAGATTATTGAGTATCTTATTGCCAATGATGATAAAACCATGAGCACTATCTTCTGTGAAAAGAAAATATTATACTTCTGCTATATTTTTCCCTATAGGTTAGATGACAGAATACCACTTGAAGGAGCAAATGAACCTGAACACGTTTCTTTAAAAGTAGACACTGACATCTTGCAAAGTGCATTAGCTGAAAATGACACACCGTATTATGATGCATCCAGGTGAGTTTGTTTTTATTGAGTTTTAGTTTAGAAAATATATTTTTGAAAAAATATGGCTAATCAAATGCCACGAGTGGCCAATCAAATGCCACTCGTAAATGTGTTACGTTTTGTGTCACCGTGAAGCTATTTTTATAGCACACTACAGGTTTCCAGGTGCTGTGGCTTCATGCAGCCTGATTTATTGCAGCTCTAGCAGCTGTACATGATTTTCATATAGAGAGGTTGTAACAAGCCAGGATCAATAAACCATTCACTTACACAGAACCATTTGTCTAGAGCAGCATTCAGATATAGACAGAGTAGCTCTATATTGAAGACAAAATATAAAAGTTTATGATTTGGATGGGAAAGTTGGTTGATAGTCCCTAATGGTTTCTCAATCTTAAGAGATTGTTTTGTTTCCAAATGTTTTGGCAGAAGAAATAGCAAAAAGTATGATAAGGTTTGTGCTAAAAATCAAGGTAGTTTCCTCTTGTATATATCTTTCTCAGGGTAGAAGAAACAAAGCACCATAAATAAATAAACAGAAGCTAACTTAAATATATTATCTTTTCCCATCAATATTTATTGAAGAAGAATTAATTTTATAGACTCTGCCAGGAAGCATTACTTAATATATACTTAATATACTTCTAAAACTTTAACTTATTTAATTTTTCAAAGTTTGAGCTAGAATATAGAGTATATCTTAATATAAGTGACTAGAAAATATCTTATTAGGTTGTCAGGAAGCTTTCTTTTGGAAGTTTGCATGAGAAGCTTTCAAATAAGCTGATAAGTTTCTTTCTTCTTTAATGAGGCAAAATAATATTTTGGAAAACCATTTACAAAATAATGGCTATTCTTCTTCCTTGTTTTAGAAATGCCAGACATGCTGATGGAGTTTTCACCAGTGACTTTAGTAGACTCTTGGGTCAACTTTCTGCCAAAAAATACCTTGAATCCCTTATTGGAAAACGGGTTGGGTAAAGAGAATTTATTATTTTTATCAAACACCTTACAATTTTTTAATCTGCAAGTTATTTTTTCACTGTTAGCAATTTATTTATTTGGCTCAAAATTGATAGCTCTGATGATGTACAGTTTAGTTGAAAAATAATTTATGTTATTTTTAATGTTCATTTATTTATTTTGAGAGAGAGTGTGAATGGGTGAGCATGAGTAGGGGAGGGGCAGAGAGAGGAGAGAGAGAATCCTAAGCTGACTCAGTGCTGTCAGTGCAGAGTCCAACATGGGGCTCAATCTCACAAACCATAAGACCATGATCTGAGCTGAAATGAAGAGTTGGACGCTTAATGACTGAGCCACCCAGGCACCTCCAAAATAATTTATATTCTTAAATAAAATATACTATGCCCATGGATTAAGGAAATAGGTTTTTAGTGATACCCTACTTATTGGTTACAGACACACTTATTTTTCTTACGTGGAAATCATTTATAAAGCTGCAATCAAATTGAACTAGACACAGTAAAAAAATAAGACATAATATAAACATAAAGTAAGTTTTAATGTTTACTATAGTATTTGTTTTTTAATTCCTGATCAAACCAAGCACTGGAAATTTCTTTCTTTAAATGGCCAATTGTCGATGGCACTATTCAAGGTGGCAAAGTTTCTAAAGAATTTACTTTTAAAGAAATTTTCCTGCCAATGACAGAACACAACTTCAAGCATCCCTCCATTTTTTATGTTAATTATTTGCTCCGTTTTTAGTGACATGTCTATGAAGGCTCCCAGTAAATGCCAAAATATGTTGGATTATTTCTTGCTCCTCTATCGTTGGGCTTAGATGTATTTTTCTTTTAGTCTTCTTTGTAATAGAAAAGAAGCTGGGCATTGGAATTCTTTTTTATCTGATTCCAAGGAATTTGGAATTTAGGCACATTTATCATTTCTTGTTAAAATCCTTTGATTTGCTTTCCCTTGCATTCCTTAGCAACAGCATCACAGAAGACCAGGGGCCAATCAAACGCCACTCGGATGCAGTCTTCACTGACAACTATACCCGCCTTCGAAAACAAATGGCTGTAAAGAAGTACCTGAACTCCATTCTGAATGGGAAGAGAAGGTAAAGAAACAGAGAATGTGTTAAAATGAGAAATTATAAATGAGTTCAAAAATAGAAGCTAAATATGAAGACATTTCTCTATCTATCTCACTATCTATACTCTATGAGACAGTAATTCTCAAACTTGGCTGATATTTGACTACCCTGAAGAATTTTTCAAATACTGATGTGTGGGCCTTACCCAAAACCAATTGTCAGGTAACTAGGCCTCTAGCGGTATGGCTCTAGGCATTGGTGGGTTTTGTTTTTTGCTTTTGTTTTGTTTTGTTTTTTTAGGAGCTCTCCACTTGATTCCACTGTGTGTCCAGGTTTAAAAGTAATGACTGTAGGGACATCTGCTCTGAACCTGGGAACTCTATCAGAAGTTTTGGTTTTTCAAACATGTAAAGTGCAGTTAGCAATTTGATGCCATATGTAACTTCCTTCGTATATATACTCAATACCTTTATGTTACCAAATTTAGTCACGAGTTCTTTTGTATTCTAAGATTCTGTAAGACATATGTCTCTCTATGGAGTGCAAACATTGGATTACAGTAGGAAGGAAGAGCGTCTCTCTCTTTTTTTTTCCAATTATTTTTGGTTCGATGTTAGTATTAAGAGCAATCTTGTTTGGGTAAGATCAGACAAGATGAATGCCTTTGCCCAGCAGTATTATAATTCTATAAAAATAATTTGAAATACCTTAAGATTCAGGAAAAATTCTATGTAATTACTAACCTCAAAGATAATTGTCTAGCCCTCAGTGAAGTTTTCAGAGCACAGAGAACAGCATAAGTCACACGTCATCATTTCTTTGGAAGCTTGCTCATCTAAGAGCTTTAACATGTACAATGTTCTTTTTCTGATCTGCAGCAGTGAGGGAGAATCTCCTGACTTTCCTGAAGAGCTAGAAAAATAATAGAAAAGCCCTTGGAAGAAAGCTGTTGACAGCTTCCCAGTGGTGGGTATATTCTGTCCATTCTTATTTTATTCTTATAGCAAACATCTAACTACTGGAATAGGGAAGAATCACTTAGGAAAAAACATCTCAGAGTTCTCACAATGAGACCTCATGGAAAAGGACACTTCTATCTGAAGTGGACCCCAGCTCAGTAAACACTTAAAATGATTCATGCAGCACTCTGATAGAAAAAAAGAGAGCTCACAATGGGCAAACAGTGTGCCACCTGCATGGTACCCGTCGTTTACTCAGACTTATTCCTCTACTTCTGCCGAGATATCAAACAGAGGAATCTGACTCACCCTAATGGGGAAAACTGGCTTTCATTTTGAGACTCCAGCAACACTGCTTTTATTAATTTAAGGTTTAGCTCCACGATTGACTGTTAGCACGTCATTTAATTTAGGTACAGAAAAATACCACCAAATTACAGCATGGTTCATTATTATGAAAATACCAAGGCATTCTGGATCTAATTGTATTCCTTGAACCATACCAAGCTTCATACAGCAAGGTTAAATTTAACTTCTTGTACCTATTGAGTGAGACTAAGTGCTATGATCGAATCGTATTTATGATAAAATATTTTTTGATAACAGAAAACATATACAGACTTTTACCTTTGTTAAGTGATTAGCAAGCTAATCACTTGCTATTCCAGTTGCTTTTATGTACATATGCATACAAGACATAATTTTTTCCTGAGTTACATTAATGCTTACATTCACTCGTAAAAATATTTGGCAAGTGCCTAAAGCAATTTCTTGTCATCAGTGTGTCAGAGGTTGATAAACTTTTTCTCCCAAGGGCTACTGAGTGAATATACTTTGGCTTTGTGGGTTAACATGTAACCCTCAAGATAACATGTAAAATGAATGGGAGCCGCTGTCTCACAATAACATTTTATTTGTAAAACCTAAAAGTGGGCTAGACTACAACCTCTGAGCAGGTCAAGGAGACTAAATTAGACTCACACTCAGACCGAAGGCAACCATGGTCTTACTGAAGTTCCTGGAGCAGATAGCTCAGGTTTTTGTGAGGGCCATCAGGAGTGGGCAGTGTCTTCAAAGACATCTGCTCCTTGGTGGCTTTTGTCCACTGAGAGAGACATATGCTGAGGGTCCTGCACACGACCATTCTTTATCACGTCAGAGAAACAAGTCCCTTTGCTCAAAGAAGAAAAATCATATATAGCTTCTGACCCAAAGTTTACAAGAAGAAGAGAAATTTCATTTAATTAAGAAATACAACAGCACTAAACTATAAAGGAAGGTTAACCTCTCTGTCTTTTATAAGATCATTTATGAGATTCCATCCTCCCTTCTTCTCTTTTCTGAATGGGTAACTTTGGACAAACTCTTTTAGCGGGAAATCCTGCATGTCAACCATTTGTGAAAACTACAAATGGGTAATTATAATGACTAATTAAAGTGCCTCTTCACATTTTAGTTCCCTTTCTGACAATCAGTCCTTTGGAGGATACCTTCCTGATATCCCAGACCATGATTCCCTGTCATGACAAGCTATTTGCAAGGGGTGGGGATATAGATGTTATCAAATAAGTGGACGAGTGAATGAAACTAAGATGCTATAGATAAAAATATTTTCATGCTTAAAACACCAATTCTTTCTTTTTCAGAACTCGTGAAGGAAAACGATAGACGAAGTAATTATATTTTGAGTTCTACATAAGTAATTTAAGAACACGACTTCAGTATCAAAACCAAATAAAATATATAGTGTCGTGAATGTTGTGGTTTACTTTATCCTGATGTAATAACTGTGATGTTTACACTGTAAATATTATTTGAGAGTTCTAAAATCTGTCTTTAATTCATGAAAATCCTGTAATCTCATATGCTGTGTATCCTTTCTAACCAAAATATGTTTAGTGATAAGTAAATAGTAGGTCAATTCCTATTATGTGGAGCTTTGGAGGAGTGTAGTAATAGAACACAAATGATGTGGGTATTTATAGGCCATACTTAACTATTCAGAAGCATGGAGCACATAATCAGTGTGTCTAAATTTGAACATTAAGCAGCTAGAATGCTGTGTTAAATAAACTGCAAAAAGTCTACCAGAAAGCAAATTGAAAGATAAAAAGACATTCTTCAAAATAGACTTTCAGAAAATGGTATGTGTTTTTGCATTTTTAGGCAAGTTTATTTTGAATGAGATTTAAAATCTCTCAAGTTCAGATCTGTAATTGCCGAAGGCTCTTTTCTGATGTGGTGTTTCAGTGAAAAAGAATGGCCTCTATTTCTGACACTGGACCTTTCCTTTTTGCTTGTGTTAAGTATGTGTCAAATGTAAACTGAATGGAACATTGGTTTTCGGTAATAAATTTTTTTCCCATAATTACTCAAGTAATGTTTTGGTCATCAGCTTCCTTCAGTGAAAGTATATTTGGAGACCTGACTATTTTTCCAACATGTAGGAAATTAATAGAGAAAATAAAGAACTTTGATTATCATTGCAGACACTTTCTATTGTTTTGATTCTGTTAAATGATGCAGCAGTAACCTCATTTTAGCTATCAAGTTCCAAGGACTAGATAGTTCTGATGTTTGAGGTAGGATTATGTTTAATTTTGTGTGAGTTCTAAAATAATGACTTAAATATGAGAGAAATTTCTTTCTCACATAAGGCCAGAAGTAAAATGTCAAAGATTAGTAGGGTAGTTGGCTCTGCTCCATGAAGCCCTCAGAAATCTAAACCTCTCCTCATGATCCAAACTTGCAGCTGGAGTTCCAGCCATCATATCTGCATTCTAAGTAGTCAGATGGAAGAGAAAGCATAGAAAAAAGGGTGGGCAATGAGCAAATGCAGGTTCTCTTTAATTGGTATTTCATGCTAACATCCCATTAGCTAGAACATACTTTTATGGTCAGAGTCATTGGAAAACAGGCTAGAAAATGTTTTGTTTTTTTCTGGATAGTCATGTGCCCTACTAAAAACTGGGATTCTAGTAATATAAAACAAGGAAAGAATAGACTTATGTGGGGTTTTTTTTTTTTAGTATCAAGCTATGGATCTTAAATTCTTACCAAAAAGACTTACAGAAATGATAAAGAAAGCAAGAGTCAATAGACTCTAACCATTAATGAGGAATCATCATTCACAAGGCAAAATTTTGCCCAGGTTCATTTACTACAATTAGAGCAAATGGCTATATGAGGAGAGACCAGTCTGGAACTACTGCTGATTGCAAAGGAAATTACACAAATTGAAGTGAATTGAACTAACTATATCTTTTGTTCACACCTGATTCCATAAATCATTAAATATGTGTTAAACGAATTTTCTATGCAAAACACTGCAGTGAAAACTGAAAACCTCTAGATGTTATTTGCACATAAGAAGCTTGTAAAAATCAAATGGGGATAGGGGCACCTGGGTGGTTCAGTCGGTTGAGTGTCTGACATAGGCTCAGGTCATGATCTCACGGTTCATGAGTTCAAGTCCGGTATCGGGCTCTCTGCTGTCAGCACAGAGCCTGCTTCAGAACCTCTGTCCCCCTCTCTCTCCACCCTCCCTCCTTCTTAAAAAGAAATAGATATTTAAAAAAAAAGATCAGGGGCGCCTGGGTGGGTCAGTCAGTCGAGCATCAGGTGGCTTAGGCCTAGATCATGATCTCAAGTTTCATGAGTTGGAGCCCCATGTCAGTCTCTGTGCTGACAGCTCAGAGCCTGGACCCAGCTTCAGATTCTATGTCTCGCTCTCTCTCTCTGCTCCTCTCCAGTTCATGCTCTGTCTGTCTCTCTCTCTCTCTCAAAATAAATTTAAAAATTAAAAAAGATCAAATGGGTGCATAATTGCAGTGCAATACAAATATGAACTTAAAGAGCTTTAATTTTATCTTATTAATATAAGCCTTTTCTGTTCAGTCCCTATTCCTTCAAGAAGTATCTATTGAATGACTTTGATGTGCAATTTAGATATCTGAGGGATGAGTGTTTGGGGCAGGAACAAGCAAGGGGGAAATCCTGGCATACTTGGACATCAAGGGAGCCAGTGTGGCCAGAGCAAGTGAGCTGGAAGAGGCAGAATAGGAGATGAGGTCAGGGAGGTTATCTAGTCCTTGGTAACACAGGCCACCGTAAGGACTTAGCAGTGAAATGAGGAGACGTGATAGAGTTCCAGACAGCGGCGTGACATTATCTGAACTTCATTTCAACAGGATCATTCTGGCTGCTGTGTTGGCAAGAAGGTGAGGGGGTGCTGCAGGTGGGAGTGGGGAGAGGAGTGAGGAGGCTCTTGCTATAAATCAGCTGAATGAGGACAGTGGTGACCGGGTCCACACGGGGCAGGTGGTGAGAAGTAGTGTCTGCATATGTCTCAAAAGTAGAGTCAGATTTTTTGCTGATAGTTTGAAATTATGGGAAAGTCCAGAATAATTCTAAGGTAAATCACCTGAGAAACTTGAAGAATAATGTGGCTATTAACTAAGATGAAAAAGACTGTGGGGGGTGGGGGGAAGGTGACTCCAGGGGAGGATGGGTTCAGCCTTGGACAGGTTAAATACGTCAGGGGTTCTGAGAAGATTTGGGGCGCAGGTCAACAGTTGGAAGACTTCAGTGTAGAAAGGAGAGTTAAAAAAATTTTTGTTAACATTTTATTTATTTTTGAGAGACAGCATGAATGGGGGAGGGGCAGAGAACGAGGGAGACACAGAATTTGAAGCAGGTTCCAGGCTCTGTCAGCACAGAGCCTGATGTGGGGCTCAAACCCACAAACTGTGAGATCATGACCTGAGCTAATGTCAGACGCTCAATGGACTGAGCCACCCAGGTGTCCCTAGAGATGAGATTTAAAGGTACAAGTTGTGAGACCACCAAGGGACTGAATGTAGCTAAAAAGGAACCTCAACATGTAACCCCTGGGTATAACAATTTACTTGAGCTGCCATAACAAGGTACCACCGACTGGGGAAAAAACAACAGAAATTTATTGTCTCCCAATTCTGGAGGCAAAAGTCTGAATCTAAGGTGTCAGAGTGGTTGGTTCATTCTGAGCACTGTGAAACAGCATCTGATCTGTGTCTCTCCCTGGCTTCTGGTGGTTTGCTGGCAATCGTTGGTTTATAGAAGCATCACCTAGATCTCTGTCTTGCTCCTCACATAATGTTGTCCCTGTGTGTGTGTGTGTGTGTGTGTGTGTGTGTGTGTGTCTCCAAAGTCCCCCTTTTTATAAAGACATGGGTCATATTGGATTAGACCCCATGCTAATGACCTCAGTTTAACCTGGTTACCTCTATAAAAACCCTATCTCCAAATGAGGTCACATTGTGAAGTACTAGGGGTTAGAACTCCAACAGATGAATTTAAAAGTAGAGGATGGTACAATTCAACTATAACCCTGACACACTCCAACATCAATGGGTTGGCATGTTGAAGAAAAACGGGGTAAAAACTGAAAGGAAAAACTAGTAAAATAAGAGAAAAATAGGAAGAATATGTGAAAACAAGTAAAGAAAGACTTCCAAGGACAAAGACATCATTAACAGATTTATATGTGCTGCTATGTAAAATAGCACTCATTTGTTGGTGATATAACAGTCAACAAACCAGACACAGGTTCCTGCCCACATAGAACTTACATTCTATTGAGGAAGACACATGATAAACAACCTGGTTAAGTAAAATGCACATTGTGGTAGAAAGTGCTAAGGGAAAAAATTAATACAGGGAAGGAGGATATGAAGTGTTGGAAAAGAAGGCTGAAATTTTAGATGAAGTTTTTATGGGAGATCTCACAAGAAGGTGAATGTGAGAAAGAGCCATGAAAGAAACAACAAAATCAGTTGTGAGTCCCTATGGGAAGAACATTCTAGACAAAGGGAATTTGAGATGCAGAAGCCCTCAAGTGGGTCTTACCTAATGTCTTAGGCAAGAGAGGAGGCCAATTTGGTTTACATGGTGAAAATAACCAAGATATAATGTAAGAGAGAAGTCAGAGAAGTTATGAGGAACCAGGCCACATAGGGCATCTCAGGTCATAGTAAAATTCTGATTTTATTTTGAATCAGATGGGGAACCATGACCAGAATTGATTGTCATCAGTAACCATCACAATAATGTTATTGGTGGAGTAATATGTATAAAAGCTGGGTTGGAATGCGTCTAACAGAATGAGGAGGGGAGCATCTGTACTATGAACACTGATGATTCTTTGAGGTGTTTTCCTGAACAGGAGAGCAAAGAAGAGGGGAGGGATCTGATGGGAAAAGAGAGATGAAGTAATTTGTTTTTATGTGGGATAAATAGCAAAAGTATGTTTGCATGCTGAAGGAAAAGATATAAGAAAAGGAAATCTGGTGATGCTGTAGGTAAAGATTTTGCTTGAGGGATATCCTTAAGAAGAAGCACAAATGAATGATACATCAGCAGTGGGCTTGACATTTGCATCACACAGAACTCTTCAACAGGCTGAGTGTTTGGGTCAAAGGTAGATGAATGGATGGATGAGGTGGTACTGGCTTCAAACTCAGGTTCAGCTGCTCACCACTCAGAAATCAATACTTGAGAGACAAGTGAGGGCAAGAAAGGAAAGTTTGCTTTATTCAGGAAGCCAGCAACCTAGGCAGATGGCAGTCTAATGTCCTAAAGACCATCTTCCCTGGCCAGGTAAAGCTGAAAGGTTTAAAGGAGAAGGTATAGGAAAAGGGAGGGGGTCCATATGTAGGAGAAGCAGGTGCCCAGGTGGTTACTTGTATGTTGACATGACCATGACATAGATGACCATGAACAGACCCGCTGGCAGCACTGGCAGTTGTTTTCAAATGTAGTCAGGTCTTATCTTCTGGGAAAGTTTGGTCCTTCACTCCTCAGGGCCCGTGATCTGCAAGTCTTAAGGAAAGTAGGTTAGTTCTGCTACAGACCAAGGGACTCAGGTCAGCAAGCAGTGAATGCATAAGTCTGAGGCAAGTGAACCCTTAGGACCAACCGGTTGGGGAGCTCTTACTGTAGAAGCTTATGAAATGCATCTTGATTACATCTGCTTTCTCTGGAAATGGCTAAAAGTAGAGATGAGTGAGGAGATGTTGGAGATGTGGGAAGAGTTAAACAGGGATGAAATAGTGTAGTAGATGAGTGGGCAAGTAGGAAAAGTTCTTTTCTAATCTGAACAATTCAGTGATGAATGGGGTTGTTCAGAAACATGGGTCAATTTAAGTAGTCTGAGATTTTTTTTTAATGTTTTTAAAGTTTAATGAAAACTAAGTGGCTTTTCCCAGAAATATGCATGTATTCATTTTTGTGCTTTCAGAGTCGTCCCTGAATCTCACTTGTACTTGGGATTTTAGTGGCTTCATTGATTGGTCTTTAAGAACTGCTACATTGGGGAACCTGGGTGGCTCAGTTGGTTGAGCATCTGACTTTGGCTCAGGTCATGATCTCACAGTTCATGGGTTCGAGCCCTGCGATGGGCTCTGTGCTGACAGCTCAGAGCCTGTGTGTGTCTCTCTCTGCCCCTCCCCT